TTCGTCCTGGGTGGATGGGTCGGGCTGGTCCAAGCTCTTCAAGTTCCGATCCAGGCGGATGATTCCGTCAGATGACCTGCAAGCAAGTCCAAAGGGGAACGGGGTAGTCCCCCAGTGAACCCTCCGATGAGCAAATCAGTAGAGGAAGAAGGAAATATATATAGAGAGAGAGATAGAAAAGCTTAACCTTCCTCTTGTCTTCGATTCTTGCTTATATCCTTTGGTAATCATTTCACTGTCCCTTGCGACGTGCCCCCTTCCGCCGAAAGCCTGTGCCATAGCTTACCTTGTTCAGGGTGAGGGGGCTCTGTTCCGACGGGGAGGTGTTGTCGTAATAAATGCTGTGATGGCCTGCATTGATGGTGATGTGTTGTGGCAATAACTCTGCAAATCTTTGTCTGCTGATGTGGCCTGTGTTTCACCTGCCATGTGCCCGAATGTCATTGGCTCTCCATGCCCAGATGGCCTCCAGCTGTCCTGGGCTTTGCCAGCCGGGTTATGCTATGGGTCCCAAGCGATGGGTTTGGGGTTGTTTGCTGTGGGCTGTAAGCCTTATAGGCCTATCCATGTCAATGACTAATATTCAATTTTTGTAAAACAATTCCAATATATTCCTTCCAAAAGTTAATATAGCAAGTCTACAAAATCATATTTTAACACTCAAAATTATTAATATTTTTATTTATTCTTATATTTGTTTTAAATAAGCATGTTAAAGTATAAATAGATATCCAAATAAAATTATATTTATTAATAAATATGGCATTAGTTTTAATTTTATTCACATCTTTTTAAAATCTTTATTCATTTTTAATTTTTTTCTTGATATTTTAAATTACATATTACGATAATTATTTCTGACTCATTAAGTTTTTAAATTTTCTTTTATTATTTTCCTTTCAAAAACTAATATAACAATTTTTTTAAATTCATATATTTTTATTCTAAAATAGTGAAGTACTAGAACTATGTCATTTTTTTTTTTTATAACAAAGCATAATGTTAATTGTTAATTATCAATACAACAATTTTAATCTATCTATACTATATATTATAGCAAAGGAACATTTGAAACAAAAATCTTACACTCATATATAAAATTTTATTTATGAGAGACAAAATACAAAAAATTAATATATAATTATCATATTTTTAATAAATAATATATTATTTTATCCTGTGTATAGTATGGGTGACATGCTAGTTTGAGTTTAAATTGAAAGGTCAAAGTTCAAAATTTATTTCTTAAAATACTAAAAGTATCCCTCATTCTTTTTTCCTTTTCTTTTTTTCAATTTTATGGTACTGCAGTTTCCAATTGGACTAATGTGAAACTGTAATTTACATTAAAAATTATAATTAAAAAAAATTATTTTAATAAATAAATATTATATCAAATTAAACAGGAACGTGAGTTGATTGTTCAAGTAGAAAGTATAAAATTTTAATGGTGATTTTGAGAATGGAGTGGTCAGGAGAAGAAGATGAGAGAGAAGGGGTTAGGGCATCTCAAACGATTCACTAAATATTTCATTAAATTTAATTAAAAAAAAAAAGTTTAAATTCTTCTTTCGAATACCAGTCACTCTAACGGTGAATTTGTATTTGTCATCAAAACATAGGTTGATCGGGGAACAACCGGCTGATCGACCGACAACTGTAATGAAAGGAGACTTGGTGATGCTGGTTATATCACTTTCAAGCTTGTATGGCCAGTTTACACATTTAACAAGAGAACATTCTCTCTTTTTCGGAGAAGATTGAGTTTTTCAATCTCAGCATCATCTGTAAATTCTTCTCTTCTTCCTCCTCCTCCTCCTCATCCTCCTCCTACTCCTCCTCCAGAGGAGAAGAAAACGGTCATTGATGATGAAGGACAAGTCCGAGTTCGCTTTGCTCCTTCAGCTTGCTCTTTCACCCACCGGTAATCTTCACGTTGGAGGCGCCAGAACTGCCCTATTTAATTACCTCTTCGCTAGGTACCCTCTCTAATTATTTCTTTACTTCACGCCATTACTTACTTCCAATTTCTCACTCTTGCTTTTTCTTTCCATTTTTGTTTCTGTTATCGTTTCACGTTAAGACCATGGTTAGTAAAACATCAAATTGCAAAATTCTAATGGGCCTCTCTTGGTTCCTACTACATTTCCAAAGCCTCATTTCTCGGCTGCTAAATATCAACGAAATTTGATAATGCCAATATACATGATTAATTTCTATATTTTACATGCTCAATTGGAAACTTTGCTGCAAGACCCGCAAGCTTTTCCTTTTCTATCCAGTTCATCACTTTCTATGTTTATTTTCAATATTCCATCTAAAGCTCTCGGTGGCTGAATTCCTCATTTATTTTGTATGAACAATGAGCATGGAAATTCATCTGTTGGAACTATGTAGCTTGAAAGTTCAGCTTTCACTTTTTTCTTCACTGAGTTTGTTTCCTCAAAAAAAGATACTGAGGTAGTCGACCGGGGGGACGACCGGTCAATGTAAGTTTTTCCCCTCTAAATGCCTTGAGGTGGTCATTTAGAGAGGACATCCGGTCAGTTGTCTGGTGATCCACACTCAATGACTACACACAGTAAATTACTAAAAGGTGCAAAACATCCTCAATTTAGTGAAAGGTTTCAAATGTTTTCAATTTGATACAGGTTTGATAAAATCATTAGAGACCAAAAAAGTGTATTTTTTCACCAAATTTAAATTTGGTGATGAATTTGATTAAATGTTGGATATGGCATTATACAAGTGGAAAAGATGAATTGTGGGTATTTGATACAATTGGGTTGGGCTTGGATGTAAATTTGAATTTGAATTTAAGCTGATGGGTTCAAATTTTATTTTTTCTAAGATTAAACATTACTCTTTTTTTCTTTTTAAATTTTTTTTGAAAAGTTTGCTCGGTTCATCTTTTTTAAAAATTTTACTTTTTTGTTTTCCTTATTTTTTTATTTTTACTGAATTTTTTTAATATTTTAAGCAAATTGTTTTTTTTTATTTTTTAGACATACCTAACATAAATATACTTAAAATGTAAAAAAAATTGTGAAAAAAACCTTTTAAAAATTTTACTAAATACCAAAAATATAAAAAAAAAAAACGAAAATTCAATATATTTTTTGTATTTTTATATATTTATTAATTTTTTAAAATATTTTTATAAATTATTTAGTTTTTAGATATATTTAAGTAAGGTACATCTAAAAATGTAAAAAAAATATTTATAATTTTAAAAATATTCACTAAAAATAAAAAAAATATAAAAATCAAAAAATTCAATTTTTTAAAAATTTAGGCCAAGTTTGGCAACTCTTGAAAAATCCAAAAAGTCAAAAAGTTACCCAAAAAGTTAAAAAGTTATCACTATTTATAAAAAAATATTAAAAAAATAATATACACACTAATACAAATAAAAAATAAAAAAACGCCCCAAGATTGGTATTGACGTGATGGTGGAGTCAGTGACCGGGAAGAAAAAAAATTATAGTACAATATTCACTAAATTGGATGGTAGAGCTGGGCCCATGGGGGCCCACCATGTGTCCCGTTTTGATCATCTGAACCGTGAATATGTAGGAATCGTCTAGTACTATATGGCTGTAAAAAATCACATCTATCGGATATCGCTAAATACATGATCAAATCAGTTTTGTATAAAAATAGATGGTGTTATAGTTAACAGTTAACATAAAAAACTAACACGATCAGATAGTTATCAATATCCAATCAACGTGATTTTTTACAAGCACATAGTACTCGACGAGTTCTACACATTAAATGATTCCGATTAGTAAAACGGGACCCATTGTGGGCCCCCATGAGCCGAGCAGAACCGACCAATTTATATCCAAAAAGTAGATAATCAATCTCCTACACTGCCCTTGCCGCACTGCCCTTTAGGCTTCCAACCGTACGGCCTATTACATCACTTTATTCCCCTAAACACTTATTTATATAATTTTTTAATACATATTTTCCATAAAAATTTAAAAAGTTAACTCAAACATTCATGTTTTTTTCCTCAACTTTTTAGTCCAAAAAGTTGACTTATTTAGGGCATTCCAAACAATCCCTTAATCTAAAAAATTCAAACCAAACACACTGTATAATAAACTGGACTAATGTGAAACTGTAATTTATCTTAAGAATTATAATAAAAAAATATATTTTAATGAAATAAATACTATATTAAATTAAACAGGAAGGGGAGCCGATAATTGTTCAACTCCGTCACCCTTCACCGCAAGACAGTCAAACTGCGTCTTCACAGGCGTCACATATAATCTTAGAGCTCCCCACCTCCGTTACGTCTCCGTCAACCCCCACCTTGGAACGGTTGTTCTTCGAGAAAAACGGTGGCGTCAGGCTAAAAACCCACCGGTCCAACCTCCCAACCCGATCGGACCGGCCCCGACTACTCCCTTCCGTCGGGAAAAACAAGATGCAACTCCTGGTCCTCTTCAGCCCCCCACTCATCATGATCTGCTTCCTCACTTCTTCCGGCAACCTCAGCGTGTACCTCTCGGAGCTCTCTCCGAGTCCAACCAGTGAGTGACCCGTCGAGTGCGACCTCTGAAACTTCGCCACTCGCTCTCGATTCTGCTTCGGAAACTCACTTGCTTCCGGATCTCTGTTTTGATTTTCTTCTTCTTCTTCTTCAACATTAATTGAAATTGAAATTTGATTCTCGTTTTGCACTACTTCACTGAGTTCAGTTCTGAAATTGTGCTCATCAATCGATTCATTCGATTGATTTACCTTCTCCGGAGGAGGAGGCGGCACGAGGTTCGCTCGACAGACGGGACAGGTGCTGTGAGAAGCCAACCAAGCGTCAATACACTCAGAATGAAACACGTGATCACACTTGGGAAGCAATCTGAGAATCTCGTCGTCTTCGAACTCGTTTATACACACCGCGCACTGTAGCGCTCCTTTGCCGATCTTGTGGTCTTTGATCTCCGAGTAGTGAAAAATGGGGAAAGACTCGATTGCTTTCGGATCGAGGCCGCGCGGGAACCGCCGCAATCGGGCGGAATTTGCTTCCGTGGCGGTGTCGTTGATGCAGTGGAGGATGTACATGGAGAAGAAGCAGATGAAGAACAAGAAGCAAACGAGGACCACGGTGACGATCCCCGTTGACGGAGCGAAGTTGGTGTAAGGAGAAATAGAAGATGATGGAGGATGCAAACTCATCTGCGCGGCCGCATAAGGTGGTGCCGCCGCCGCCAAGAACAGTAGTGCGAGTAGTGGCGCGTGGGCGCGATTGATTGCATTACTGTGAGGTGCAGGTGCAGTGAAAGGAAACGTGTGGGCGATGATCCGACCGTTGTGATTGGTCATGGCTATGAAATGTACTGGATGCTCATCTCGGGAATTTGAGTTCAAAAAGGATGTTCTGATTTGATTTTTAAGTGCGGGAAGCGAGAGAAGGGAATGTTTTATATGAAGGAAGGGGGGACGACGAATCAAAGCTCTGGATTTCGTGGGGGCAGGACAAAGACTGGGACGATCCTAATTCATCCTAATCCAATTTTTATTTTATTTATTTTATTTTTTTTTTGAACTGATCCTAATCCGAGGATAGAGAGACATATATGTATATATGTATGCTACTTGCAAGTTTTGAAATTATTTATACAGGCCTCGTTTGGGAAGGGACTATTTTAACCAATTAGTTAAAAAGTTACTAAATTAGTCAAAAAGCCAACAACTCATACCAAAAAGTCAAAGATTCTCTTTTCTCTCTACTTTTTACACATCTTTTCGTAATTAACCAAAAAGTCATCCCAAACATACAAATTTTTTTTACCTACCTTTTTAGTCAAATAGCCAAAAAGTTACTAAATTAGTCTGTTCCCAAACGAGGCCACAGTAATTCCTTTCAAACTCAAGTACGATTTTTGAATGTTTTGGATATGTTTGGAAAAAAAAAAAAAAAAAAAAAAAGAAGAGAAAAAACTTGTTTGTTGTATTATATGTTTTAACTTAGTTTCATAGTTGTTTAGCTTAGTTGTTTTGGGATAGTTGTCTCCTAGTTGTTAATATTAGCTTGATTTATTTGTTTGTTTTGTGTAACATAGTTGATTTACTAGTATAATCTTGTTCCTTTACATAAATAATAATAATAATAATAATAATAATAATAATAATAATAATAATAATAATAAGAAAAACAAAAAAAATTCTTAGTTTAATTTTTGTTTACCTTAATTTAGCTAATTTAGTTTAGTTAGTTGTCTAATTTTTTTCTTCTTATTCTGTTTTCTTTTTATTTCACTTGTTTCCTTATGTTTGTTTACTTTATTTTATTACTTTACTTCTCATTTGTCTCATGCTAATTTAGTCTAGTTAGTTTAGTGTAGTATTCATTTAGTTATATATATATTGAGAGGGGAGGTTTGCGCGTTAGTACGGCCGAGCTACGATAACGCCGATCATGACGAACCGCACGCCGACGAGCAGAAGACCGGCCAGACACGAACCAATGCCTGGCCAAGCTATAATGCGGCCGAGCGCGTAGTAGTGTCTGATGACCAACCTAAGAGCAACTCGGGCTAGACTGTGGACGCGGTTAGGGCCGACACGCTTCTGACCGACCAGCTGAGATAAATGGGCATCGTGCGACCGAGAATAAAAGTAGGATGGGTGGAGGCCGGCATACCTCACAACTGGTTAGCCTAATGAACCGGTCAATATCAGCTCGGCCATGAGCATCGCCCTTTGGCCCCTTTGCAAGGGACAGGCCGGCAATGCATAGCCCGGTTGTGTGCATGTGATGGAAATTCTCCACAAGTGATAGGCTGGTCGTGGTATTCTAGACAAGTATGCCACCTGGGCCAATGGCGTGAGGGAGAGAGGAAACCTGCTCCAGGCATGCGCCAATACCGTTGGACAGTTCTGCGTATACTGGTGGGAGGACTAAGCCTTTACACGCGTAAGGTGGTGAGAAGCGAGCACTGCCACCTGTCCTAGGAAAGACAGCAGAGGTAATGCACGCATAATCTTGAGGCTGCATGGCCAGCCTTAAAATATGGAGGAGGACGAACGTTAGAGGCATGAAAAATTCACTCTATCACTAACACTCTCTCTTTCTCTGATAGCCTTCTTCTTCCTCCATTGGTCTGACGTGATCGTCGGAGGGTCTATCTGGCACACCACCGCCGGGCAGCACACCATTTCTGTGTTGCAGAGATAGACGCCGTCACAAGAAGCTTGACGTCCAAGGAGTATAGAAAGCAGAGGATATTTCGCCCCCGTACAATTGGCGCCGTCTGTGGGAAAAGTTGGTACTCAACCCTTGTTCTTTGAGCTTCTTTGACCATTTCCATGGCCAACAACGACGAAGCCCCACTGTCCGTCGTCGATGGCGTCATACCTGAGTATATCCACCTGAGAGAAGGCCCCCCGAATATTCCAGCCATTGCGGGCCTAGAGGCTTCTTCGCGAGGTGCGCGAGACAAACGTGGAAGGAGTACTGATTGCTCGCCAAGTCCAGAGGGCCGCCGACGCCGGGGGGAGTCCCATGCGCAGCGCCTGTAGCACAAACTCAAGTACCAAGATGCCCTCATTCGCAAGATGGCGGCAGAGATGGAGATGCTGAAACGCTAGATTAAAGGGAAGGGTGTTGCTGGAGAGGGCAACCTCATTGAGCGCACCCCATTCCCTCGTTGTAGCAGTCGCCGCCAGGGGAGGACTCACTCTCTCTCCATCACCAGGAACTATGGAGTTGGAGATTCTGACCAAAGAGATGGCAGGTCCCTCTCTTGCGACAGCACTTACCGCCCCTCACGCCCGACGCCGACGTCGCGATCCTCTTTCTCCACAAGTTCCAGGGACTTGAGGGACGTATTGGAGGAGAGGGCGCGCCGTCGAGAGGCTCAGAGAGTGCCGGCATTGCAAAGGTTGAGCGCTCCAGTTCGTTGTAGTGAGGAAGTGGCGATGCCAGCCCCCAAATTGGAACTATGTAGCTTGAAAGTTCAGCTTTCACTTTTTTCTTCACTGAGTTTGTTTCCTCAAAAAAAGATACTGAGGTAGTCGACCGGGGGAGGATCGGTTAATATAAATTTTTCCCCTCTAAATGCCTTGAGGTGGTCATTTAGAGAAGACATCCGGTCAGTTCTCAATGACTACGCACAGTAAATTGGTAAAAGGTGTAAAACAACACAACTCAAGACTCAAATACTAAGAGCAAAGGATGTAAATGAGAATAAGACAACAACATAACCACGAAACCAAGTCCGGAATGCAATAATCAAAGGAAAGGAAAACCGGGATCGCCATAACGACGAACCAAGGCAGTATGGCAACACCGACAGGAGTCGAGGAAATGATGCGTCAGATGCAAGAAACCATGAGAGCCATGCAACAGGACGCCATTCGCCGGGATGAGTTTGCCAAACAACAGGCCGAGATCATGGCCCAGCAGGC